TAGCTGAAAAACAAAGGCATTGACCAGTGTGAGCTCAGAAAATTTAATAATATGCAACCACAATCAAATTGCAACCTATGCTTCAAATTAGCTCAAAAAGTATACTTTTTTACAGATTTCTGGAGTTATATAGATTTATTCACCCTTTCAATTACCTACATATTGATTTATTTAGTCAAGCCATACTAAATAGGTAATCTTATGTTGGATCTGGCTAAACATTAACAATCCCGAGAGTATAGCACAAACTAATATCAGAAGCAAAGGAAAGAATCAAATCTTTTTCAATAAATTTTTCTAAAAAAAAGAACATATTTTCCAATGATGAAGACTGGTTACTTAGAAAGGTACCTTGGTTGGTGAACTACCATGCACACGTTTACCCCTTCAAGAGCTTCATGTCGAAGTGCTCTAAGAAGCAGCTGAGAGGACGCACTATCCAAGCCAGATGTGGGTTCATCTAAGATCAAAAGGGAAGGCTCCATGACCATTTCCAATCCGACGTTTACTCTCTTCCTCTGGCCTCCAGAAATTCCTCGCTTTTCTACTGTTCCAACCAAGGAATCACGCACTGTTTGAAGCCCCAGGGACTCAATAACTCTTTCAACAACTAAAACTTTTTCAGCTTTTGCTAGGCCGGCAGGTAGTCTTTGACATTCAGAAGTTCATAAGCGAAGAAAGTAAGAAAATAGCAGAAGTTAGTCAAAGGAATTGATATCATGTAGCCACAGGAATGCACCAAAGAAAATGTAAATCATAATATATAGATTTCAAGTGAAATTTTCTTCAATTTTTGGTTGAACGACTTGTTTATCAATAAATTTACAACTTTTACCCATCACTGGAAAAAAGAGAACTAAATAATAGTTTTAGTTTACATGGGTATGGACACAACGTTACCAAAAATTCATTCTTTAGAATGTCCGGGAAATTGAAGGTAGATTTTAACAATGTATGAAAGAAAAAGGAGAGAAAAGAGAAATGGTAGGAAAATAAGTTAATAACGCATGCAGCTAAAATTATTAAGAAGTGAAGAAAATGAGATATACCTGCATTTTGCATGGAACCAGAGATTCTCTTCCACTGTCAAGTTTCCATGCACAATATCATCTTGTGGAACAAAGCCAACAACTTTCTTGTATGAGTGAATTGATGCACTTTTTCCATTTACGAGAATCGAACCAGTCATCCTGCATCCAATTGCTTTTCCTGCCAAAGCAGAAAGGAACGTTGTTTTGCCAGCTCCTGATGGACCCATGACAGCAGTGATTCGACCAGGCTTAATATTTCCAGTAACACTCCTTAAAAGATGCTTCTTTTTAGCTTTCAGAGTAAGTGTTAGGTCTTTAAAAGAAACCTCAATTAGAGGCCTTCTCTTAATTTCATCAGTTGTAGCCATCGAAACTACCCCCGAGAAGGTGAGGTTCTTGTTTGCTTGCTCAAGAGCTTTCTCTTTCTCCAGTTGAGCATATGCGTACTTGAAAATTTTGCTATCAGTATTCAGCTCCTTTACCCTTTGCATATGATGTGCACTTTCTATTGAACTTGAATGCTCAACTTCTAGACTAAGGCCTTCCCATTTTTCCGGTTCAGCTTCAATTTCATGGATATCCTGTGTAAGGGGACGTGTTTCCATTTTCTTTCCTTTCGATGCTGCAGAGGATGACAGAGATGCATCAGAAATACTCAATTGTGCAGGAGTGTACGGATCATCATTTACTTCAAAATTAGCTTCATCCAAAATCTTAAGTTGCTCAGGACTACGGGCAATTTTTTTCCGGGAAAATGTGCCTGAAAGATGTTCCTGAAATCCACTTGCATGCTTCTTGGCAGCATCTTTTGCAGCTTTCCACCTTTGGCGTGCCTTTGCTGTCTCCCTTGCACTTCTTGCTGCTGCTTCCCTCGATTTCGCCAGTCTCCTTTCTCGAGTGATTAGTATTTGATCAGTGCAGTTGTAGATAATTATAAGTAACAAACTCAAAGCAGCCTGCATAAAGCAAGTGGAGAGTAATTTTGAATATATCGAGGATAAATGTGTTGAAAATAATAATTTGTAAATTAAGAGGACTTTTTGTCTTACTAAAGAGTTAAGATTATGAATATATGTTTTTTAGTTTTTTTTATGTGGCTCATATATTAGACTTAAATGTGTTTTTTGAGTTTTTTTAAGTAATTCAAATTTTAAACTTAATTATAGTTCATCGGTTAAACTTAACTATAGTACATGTATTTAGAATTTTGAGAACCATGATAGTGTTTATATATACTCGTGTACTTGAAAAAAAAATTTAGTAACCACAAAAATCAAAATTATCTCTTTCCTTCTCCTTCTCGTTTCCAACAAAATATTACCTAAACCTAGTTTATTTATTAAAATATTTCCAAAAAAATGCATCTAATAGCTGCCCTACCATTAGTATTATATTCTGTTTGGTTCATTTCCTACTTAATTACCAGTTTAATCCTATATGTCTTAATATCGACATAACCTGTTGAGCTGAGTTCTTATCACACCACCATAAATTCTTGATTATAGGAATTCAATCCCTAGCTTGAAAGTTAAAAATTGAACTTTCACTATCAAGGAATTTTTGGTAGATATGGTGATAACTTAATACAACAAATTATGTTCTAATTATGTATATTAAGACTAAATATAGAATTAAACTTACAAAATGACTAAAAATTAAACCGGAAAATGAACCAACTGCAAACTTAGAGTAATCGGCCAAAGTAACAATTATTGCAGCTCAAGCTAGTTATTAAGTATCTGATTTAGAACCTAAGAGAAGAACTTACTATAAGCATAATTCCATATGCATGCATATTTTGATTCGCTGTGTTTGGATCGCATGAAGTTAACTTGATGCAGCCTGCAAAACAATATGGGAAGACGTATTTGTTACTAAATTCAGAATACTAAAGATAAAAACAGAAGAATAAGGGAAAAGAATCTCCGGATTCCTGGACAAGGGCACTTTTTTGTGTAAGGCTGGACAAATGACTTTGTCTCCAGATTTCACTATTTAAATGCTCGAACCAAAAAATTATCTTACCTGGAACTTTCTATAACACCTACATACTATTAGATTACCTTCAGTTCAATTTTCTTCAATTTCTAGCCAATTACTTTCTAATTTTTTAATAGTTTTCATATGTATAATTGAACTGTTACTTGTGATTATCACAAACGACAGAAATTCAATCCTACATCTCGAGGTGTAGAAATTTTGACAGCATACTTATCCATATGTAGGAGCACAAAGCATACACACGAATAGGAGTTATTAACCGTGAAACATAATGCAATAGCAAGTGGGTTTTAGCATACTTACGTTTCTCAGATGTTGAACCCATCCTGCAATAGTGTCTGAAATAACATAACAATTTTGACAGCATTAGTAAAACAAATATAAATATAACCTGGAGCAATTATAAAGTCACCAGAACTCTACATCCGTAAACCAAAAAGAATCTCTGAATATGTATACACTTTTTAATTGAATCACATGTGGAAACGAGAATAAGAAGATTACAACATTAGAAAATATCCAATTAAGCTCAGTAAAAAAGTTTTAGGAGAGAAGTTAATACCCACTACTGCAGGAACTTTTCGTGGTAGTTGTTGGGCAAAATGATCCTGCTGAGCAGAATACTTCTCTACTACTTCGAACATCTGACCATATGTTTGCCCCTCCACACGTATGGTTTGGAAGCCCCGGAGACGCTTGGTAATTGTATCTGCAGTCCATTGATGCATACTTAGTACGCGTTGCAGTTCATTAAACGATTTGGTACAAAATAATATTTTCAATTAGTTTTAGATCTTACGGTTCACAAATGCCTGTTGTCTCATTTAGTGTTGCACGGGGACAAAAGGAACCCAACGGGCAAGCTTCACAGATGGAAGGAACCAAAATGAAAATCAGAAACAGGATATGCCAATTCATGAGCACACAAATATAATAGAAAAAAGGCACCCGCCCCATCAATAACCATTAACAGAAAGATTACAAATGAATGATGTTGGTCTGTGGTGCTAAAGAGAAACGCAGGAATGTGTTCAAGGCCTAAATCACCAACTCATCAGCCCAACAAGGAATGTAAGAGATGAATCAACATTTGGATGAAATTTATTTGAGAAGTAAGCATCTGAAGGTTCTTTGATACTTACGCATCATGCATGTAATACCACGAGGACAGAAAAAACCCTCGCAGCAAGGCTTACAGTCTTGAGTTCTTGGTGGAATGTTCTCTGATTCTTGAATGTCAACTTCCTGGTTCTGACCAACACTACAAGCCCATCCTGGCTCACAACCAGAAAGCTGTGAGGTCAAATTACAATTCTTGTTTGGTTCCAAGAAAAGTGGATTTGATGATTCGAAGAAACTATCAAAGTAGAATTTCATTTCAGCCACAGTACATATGCGCGATCCAAGATCTCCTGCTATGACCAATTAAATCCAACTTAATATAGGAAAGGATAAAACTAAAAGTAAGAAATACTAAATCAAAAATTTTTACAGAGTAAACCAAACAGATATCCATAGCTGCAAGAATGGTTCCATTAGCAACTGCTCGGTTTCTATGTAGAAGGAATATAGTGGATATATGAATATTAATTATCTAATTCCGACATCCAACAGCAGATGATACTGCCAGTACAAACACTGACAAGCAAAAAACTAAATTTATTAAAACTCAATGCTTTGCATGATCACCAACGTTCTGGGAACAATGTAATCTAACCTTTTTTGCATTATAAAAGCTGACCAAATACAAGATGATAAAGTTTCACTTTTTCTTAAAGGTAGTCTAACAAGTGGTGCTTCCATGAGAATATTTCGACTTTTAAGTACTAAGGTAATATTCTTCCGATCAGTTATGCTAAAAACAAGCAGTTCCATGGTCCATGCTTCATTAATGTTAAAACCTAGCACTCGTCCTACAACTTAGCGACTGATCAGGGCTAATATCATTTTCTTTCTGTTTTGAATCAAAGCAATACCTTCAGTTTCCACGAGGCAAGATTCCAAGAAATCCAAATTGGATGAAAAATTAAAGGCTCTGTCCCAATCGGCTTCCCTGAAATCATGGTTATAGCTTCAGAGTCAACTCAATCACACACACAAGAAAACTTAATATGAAAAAAATCAACCTCACATTCCAAATACACTTCTCCTCTTTCCCTTTTTGGGATAAACACTTAAATAATTTCCTCATCAGTGCCAGCCAAATTAAAAAGAATTGATTTCATTACAATCAATTCTCACCACAGTCAATACAGTTAAAGCATATTTTTAAAAAACAAAAAATGAAAAACTGGATTGTTTACTCCACACCCAGAAAGCAAAACACCACAAACCCGAACTTCCATTGTTTTTTCCTCCTTAATTTTCTCAGCCGCCAATCAGAAGGGGGGGGGAAAGAAAAAGATGATAGGAATAGATAATGAATAAGGTGTAACTCACGGGTCCTTAACACAGAAGCTGGCCCGGCTGCCGATATCACGACTGATAGCTGCAGTAAGATTAGAAAGCCTGCTAAATACAAACTGGGTGATTAATGGTCTTAACGCTGGGTTATTAATCTGATCATAGTCGCTCAAATCCTGGCCTTGAACGCAATGCACCAAACTCAAAACAACGATGACCCATTTGAGAATCGAAGTAAAGTTGAATACTTTTAGCTCCTTCAAGCTCATCCTAGAGCACCCTAAGATTCCTAAGATTGGATCTTTAACAAAAACGTAGCAGAAAAAGATGAAACTTTAATAAAGAAACGGCGAGTTAAACTTAACATACAAACATGGTAGGCCCAAAGAGAATGATATCAATGAGAAAGTAAGGCTATTCAGGACATGGATTTGCTCTTGTTGTGCCTTAAAAATCACAAATGAGCCGCCTTTGTGTGGTATTTTTTCCGAGAACCACCCCTTCAACGCACATTGATTTTTCTGAGAGAGAAAGATAGAGGGAGATTTGTGGTGGGTCCCACCGGCAAGAAAGAAGACCAGACAAGGTCTTGTAGAGAAGACAATTCATAGTCTTCATGGAAGCCGGCTTACCTTCCTCGGACATGGAGTTGTTTCCGGGGCTGCTGTCTGTTTTGAGAAGAAAGTGAATTTTTTAAGATAGAAGATTCCTTCTTTCTTGTGTGATTTCATCTCAATTTGCCATATGGGAAATGTTTTTTAATTTCAATTTGAATCTTTTTTTTTTTTTTCAAAATATTTTATTATGTATAAGAAATTAATAGTCACATAAATGTTCTTTTACAAAATTGCAAGACCAAGTAATTTTTTTTTTTTTACCATATTAGCCTATGCAAGTTTTATGCAGTTATATATAACAAATAACTTACCATATATATATATATTAATTCATTTATAAATTTACTGAGTTTAATTAAAAAAAAACTAGAAAAAATACCAACATCCATAAATTATTAAGATAAATCTTAATTCTCTATTCGTAAAAAAATTTAGTAACATATTTTATCCAAAATTTTCGTAATAAATTTATAGATTTTAAACTCTCTCTTTAACGTAATTAAAATATTGCGATGAATTAAACATACCCAAAAACAAAATATGTGTGATAATTATTTAATTAATTATAATTTTTTTAATTTAATTATTTATGGTCTTTAAAAATATATTTATTTCTAAAAATTATATTTTCAAAAGAAATTTATCATGTAATATTTGTCACCATATGTTGAGAAATATCCAACACAAGTACAAACCTAATCATTAATTTAATAAATGAGTATAATAACTTCATTACTAAAAACAAAATAGCACAAAGAATTTTAACCAATCACTCAAACTTGGCTTTTATTGAATGAAAAAAGGATATATATATATATATAAGCACAAAAACCTATATATATATATATATGTATGTATGTATGTACAACAAAGACAAGCCTCCAAAATAAAATTCTCTAAGAAATAATTACATATGACATATTTGAGAGTATTCAAACTCTTAAATTTTCAAGAATTAAAGAGGTATATTACTAGACAAATATCCAAGTATATCATTGATTTTTTATTTGGCCATGGAGATATGTAAAATTTTTAAGAATTTGATTAATTACTTTTTTTTTTTTGAGGTTATGATTGTCATCATAAGACAAATTAAAACTAAATTAGTGAAAAAAATAAGATAATTTAATTAATTAAATGATAACAAGTTTAAATTTAATTAATTAAGCAATAATTAAGCATGCAACTTTTATTAAATAAGCAATAATTGTTCTTCCATTTTAATAATTATTACTTTTACATCTTAAACTTTGAATTTATTTATTTATTTTTTTTATATCTTTCCTATCAAATTTCATTCGAATTAAATTTTCGAATTCTTATTAAAAAAATTAAATATTATAATTCACGTATGCAATTACACCAAACATATATTTGCAAAAATACATTTATTTTTTTAATAATAATTTTTACACATGAAACAAATTTTTCTCTCAAAAAATATATATATATATATATTTTTTGAAATTTATTTAGAAATATTATATGTAAATGTCAAATCCAAGTGATGAGTATATAAACACACGTTTTTTTTTATTAATTAAAGGGCATAAAAGTTATGGTCAAGATGTTATTTTAAAAGAAGTATCATCAAAGTCCTAAGGCACAGCAGCCATCATTATTGATTCTAATCCTTTCTACTCTTAACCTAATTTCTTTGTATTTTCACATTGTTGAATATAACACTTCACTTTTATTGTTAAAAATGTTAATTCTAAAGTTATAATTGTTAAATGTATATATAAAAAAATATATGTATATATATTCATCGATTATTTAATATATCGATACTAATTATAATAATGTATAAATAATTTTTAAACGGTGACGTACTGAGAAGACCATCTGATTTAAATTTACACAAATTATTACGTTTAAATAAAAAGATATATAAAAATATAATTTAATTTAAATTTATAATTTTTTTTAAAAAAAATGACTTATTGAATATTAAATTAATTAATAATTAATAATTAATTAGCTAATTGAATATGTAGGTTTCTTGTAAATCCATAGTATTGACTTTTTCAATTTGCCTCCTTATCCAAACCATGAACATAGCCGTGTGTGAGACTATCCAATATATTATAAAATAAAAAATAGAAAATTTGTCCATTGAAATATACCCAAATATTAAAAAAAAAAAAGAAATTTAAGAGTCATCCAACTTGAAATATGTCCACATATATATATATATATATTATTTTTTAATTTTTTTAAATAAAATTTATTATTATTTTAATTAAAAATATAAAACTTATTATTTTATAAATATATTATAAATTAATGATAATGAATATATAATATTTAATTCAGTATAATCGATGATTTAATTTATTAGTGTATTGAGTGGGATTATGATAATTAAGTAAAATTATAATTTATTTGACAAAAAAATAAAATTGTTTAACTTTAATCAAATAATTATAAATATCGTATAATATTATTAATTAGACCACATGTTGGGTATCACCAAAAAAAAAGAAAAAATTGAATGTAATTTTGGACTGATGTTTAATGTAAATTAGTGATTAAAAACAAAATTTCATTTAAAAATTAAAAGAATTCAATTGAAAAAATAATTTTATGTCACATGATTATAATTAGATTCAATGTAAGAAGTAAATATATATATATATATATATATAGAGAGAGAGAGAGAGAGAGAGAGAGAAATATGGGTCGGATTGTCTTTGTAATCATTATATATAATTTTTCTGGTTAAATACAAAGTTAAAATAAGAGCCTTTGTAATATTTTATTTTATTTAAATAGTATATTTTTTAATTAAATTAAATTATATTTTGACCATCTTTTAATTATTAATACATATATAAATATTGTGAAATATTGATTATTTA